GGTTTAGGATTTTGGGGTTCGGGGTTGAGGGTGTTTAGGAATTAGGGCGTCGTCATGTTTTCTACGCTTCTCGGTCTAAGGTTCTCGGAGAGCCTAAGAACCCTTACTGACAGGGAATATACCTGAAAAGATCAGTGGGCAAACGTTAGGATTGTGGATCTATTCCGGAATTCAGCGTTGTTTTTGGGATTTTTCTGTATTTTTCTGTATGTTGGTGTTGGTGTTTGATTTGTTCGGCGTGGTTTCTCATTGTGTTCCCTGGTGTAAGTGTACGGTTTCTTGGAATCGTTTAGGGTTTCGGGAGGTGGGTGGGGTTTGATGGGAGGGAGTAGCAGGCTACCTGCGGCGCCGGATACCTGCCATTTCAACGGGTGTATCCTATCCTATAAACCCTAGACCCTAAACGCTAAACCCTAAACCGTAACCCCCGGTCTTTGGAAAGAACGAAGGCTGGGGCCCAGCGTGTTTACGCTCCTCAATCCGGACCAGGAGGATAAGGAGCTCTGAAGCTGGCGCTTATAAGGGGTTTAGGGGTTAGGGTTTAGGGGCTTAGGGTTTAGGCTAGTTTCGGGGTTTAGGGTTGTGCTTGAAGGGTCTTGGACAGCATTGAGTGGGGCTACAGGGCAGCTGCAATGCCATTTTGACGACATTGCGTTTCAAACCTTGGCGGGTTCATGGACACTGCAGGGGGGCACTAGAAGCCGAGAAAATGCAGCATAAAGCAGGGTTTTTCTTATGCGCTAGATCTCTCTTTCGAGTCGTCCCAGTGGCGTTGCATGCCACAGTACAGAGCTTGCAGCCATTAGCCCGTGGAACCCCCGAACCAGAGAGCGTAGACCCAAAACCGCAACCATCCATGCACAGCCGTCAGGCATACTTAAGCTGCCAGAACCTAGTTCTCGAACGGCCCCTCATCATGGAACCTTGCGCCCAATAAAGGTAGGCTTTGGTACTGTTGATGATACAAATCCTGCATTACCTTGTAAATTAAGGACCCTAAAACTATGGGAAGTATGGCATATTCCTTATTATGGGATAATGCAGGATTGACTATCATCAACCGTAGGTCATAGGCTGGGCCAGGCAGAAGAGCCATGCCAATGCGTTGGGTCTTTGGGTGGGGCAAATCGACCTCCTGCCTGTTTTTGTGCTTGGAAGGGAACCCACGGTTTTTGTCCCAGTACCTTATGAAAGCATTGTGCCCTTGAAATGAGGGCGCATGATCGTATGGTAATATATAAGTCTTGCAGACACACAGATATATGTATATATTTTTTATGTATATAGATATATACATATATGTATATATAATTACTTATATATTTATGCACACACACACATATATATATATGTATGTATGTATGTATGTATGTACGTACGTATGTATGTATGTATGTATGTACGTACGTATGGGATATGATTCATAGGCTCCTTTGGATGCATTTGGCCCTGGCGGTACCTTTTCGTAGTGCGCAGAATACATGGGGCTCTCCTTATATGAGAGTCCTTGATAGGTACACCGTTCCAGGTTCTAGATTGCATGACGTCATTGCTGTGTTCCCTGCAAAGAGCAAGCTCAGGCATCTGGAGCCTCGCGTCGTAGAATTATGAACTTAGGCCGCTGGAAACATGCCCCTGAGAAGTCCTGTTGTGCGGCGCAGCAAAAACAAATCAGAGCTCTGTGTGCATTGGTGCGAGGGCATCCGCATCTTGCCGAACTTCCCTATGGCCCTAACCCCGAAGACCCTAAACCCGGAAGAAATGAAGCCGAAAAAATTACTTACATACGTCTCAGCCGTAAAGAAATTAAAGCTAAACTCGAAGAGAAATGACGCCCTACACCCGAAACCGCGGCCTGCTGTGGGCGTGCCGACCTGGTGCGAAGAACCTGCACCCCGCATTTTTGTGATTGCCCTAAACCCTAAGCCCTAAACCCTAAACCTTAAACCCTCAACCCTAAACCCCTAAACCCCTGAGCCCCTAAACCCTAAACCCCTTTAAACTGGCCCGCATGTTTGTGACTTCCAAGTCTGGGCGAAGACCCAGGTCCAAGTACTTGGGTTATACTGTTGATGATATAAAACTGCATTACCCTAAGGACCCAAACTATGAGAAGGACCCAAACTATGAGAATCATGGCATATTCCTTATTATGGGATAGTGCAGGATTTATATCATCAACCGTACCCTAGTGTAGGAACCTGATTCTCAGAAACCCTGGCCCTATAATCCCAATGTATATTGGGGTTCATATGAAGAACCCTCAGAAAGGCCCAGGGTTTCTTAATCAGGCTCCTATACTAATATATCCCGTGAGGACCCAGGGTTCAGGTTTTATAGGGCTTAGGACCCCAAAGAACCTACCTTTTTGGGGTTCCTTATTATGAATTCTTTATACAAGTCCTTAAAAAGGTAGGTTATTTGGGGTTAAGGTAGGACCCTCATATCACTTTCTTTTTCGGTGGGGTTTTGGGGCGATGGGTATACACATCAAAGACCGCAGTCCCCAAGGGAAGCCCTTCTCAACGGACATCCCAAACCCAGAAGCTCCAATATCCCTTAATTAAGGCATATACCTTATAAATCTTAGTAGGGCTCCTATTATAATTTAAGGTATATTCCTTGATATTAAATCTTAGTAGGGCTCCTATCATAATTTAAGATATACTCCTTGATATTGGAGTCTCTGGGAACCGCAGGCATGATGAGTCAAGGGATCGACCGCAGGTGCGATCTTTCCTTCTGAGAGGGGCCTTCCTGGACTACCGACCCCCCAAACCCGAATCCGTAATTAGCCCCCACAACATCTATGCCGGTAGTTCCCTAAATTAGGGTCACCTTTTCGGTCCCCGGTGTATAGTACGGCACCCTTGTAACAAGGACCCCCCAAAAAGACCCCAGAATTGAGGCATATAGGGTTTAGTGTTTAGGGTTTCGTTCAAGTGCATGTCGCCTTCATTACTGCTTCCAAGAAGGTGCGTTCATTGGTTCTTCAACTTAGCGTCACACTAAGGAGCAGGAGACCCCCCCCCCGCCCAAGTAGGGACTAAATGCGGTTTAGAGAGCTCCGTCGGAAGATGCCGGCCTTCTCTATCCTGTGTTTCTTCTCGACTTTCGCCTTGGTCCAAGTTGCAGCTCGGTTCTCAGAAGGCTGTGAATCTGTCGCTGAGCTCCTCCAGCTGAACATGTCGAAGATCCTGGCGCTCTCCCGCAAAGCCGCGCGGAGGGAGGAAGAGATGGGATACTTCCGTGGCAGAGAAGGTAGCCTTTAAGCGTTTTGGGGGTTTAGGGTTTAAGTTTCGGGGTTTAGGGGTTAAGATTTAGGGTAGCCTTTAAAAGTTTTCGGAGTATTAGAACCCCGGTCAATCCCCCTGAACTACCCCTAGGATAAGCAACGAAGGATACAGGGATCTCATGCTCTTTGCACCGCTGCTTTCTGCAATCCAGCGTAACTGGATCCTTGTTGGCTACAATTCCACATTTTTTGATATAGTACAAACCCACTAGGGTTTAGGGTTTAGGGTTTAGGGTTTATTGTACATTTTTGATATAATAAAAACCCACTAAGGATTGAAAATGATAATTTTTCATAGAGCCCCAACAGGGAACCAGGTAAGAAGTCGGCTGGGCTGGCCTCTTGTCCATGCGCTTTCGCCGCTGCTGCGACTGTAGGCATCAGCATGGAGATGACTGGTCTCTTCGTCCTACCCTATAGTCTCCATTGTAGTTCCTGTTTTTGCTTGATCCCTAAACCCTGAACCCTAAGGTAACCCCAAAAGGAACTGCGAAGCAGTACAACATCGAACCCTTCAACTCAAGCTGCGGAATCAACAAGTTTTACAAGTATACTTATAGTAATCCCTAAGGGTCCATGTACCCAAGTAGTATATACATTGGCCCTAAAGTACCTCTATAGGGACTACTGTAAGGCCAAAGTATATCTATTATTTGGGTACCATGGACCCTTAGGGATCATTCTGGAAGCTGAATATTAGAACCCTGATTATTACCCCGCTCTTTGAGGGCCTTAAATATTGAGATCCCCGCTGTATTATATATTCTGCTGTATTAAGAGGCTCCCCAGTACCCAGAGACTCCAACATCCCTTAATTTACGGAATATACCTTAAATTGCAATAGGAGCCCTAATAAGATTTAAGGGATATTCATTAATTGAGGGATCTTGGAGTCTGTGTGGGTATCATCCTTTTCCAGGTAGGCGACCTGAGGATCCTTGGTAGGATCCCGCATATATGGGTACTTCTCTAAATTAGGGTCCCTTTTTAGATACCAAATATAGTACGGCACCCGTATAAAAAGGATCCCCAAAAGGGATCCTAATTTAGAGAACGACTCATATGCCTTTTAGGTAGGGTCGGGGGGAAGAGAGGTTTGGAGTATGGGGCCGTCCGCACGAACTTCGACTACATGACGACCTTTGGTCGGCTGACTCTCCTCGAGAACGCGCCCTGGAGATCAGATGATGGTTGTTCTAAAGGTCCGTGTCTACGGTTTATACAAGATCGGCAAAGTGATAGGGTTTTAAGGGTCCGCGAAAGATCTGATATAGCACGAGCAAAATGGGAAACACTTTTGCGCGAAAGATGTGTCGACATGGGCTGTAGGGTTTTTCCCGTGGTCGACAGGCTTAGGCCCGTTTATAGGCTTCAGGGCTTTAACTTGATGCTTCAATAACCTGCATTATGGGGTCATAACCTACTGCATGGCAGGGTTTGGGGTTAATTACGCGCGCAAACAAATCTCCCCAAACGAAATCCCAAACTCAGCGCAAAGCCCTAAATCCCTAAACCCCTAAATCCCTAAACCCAATAACCCAGAGACTCCAAAATCCCTTAGTACGGAATATACCTCAAATTAAGGTATATTCCTTTGGAGTCTCTGGGAAACCCTAAAACCCCAAAACCCTAAAATCCCAAACCCTAAAACCTTATAAGGCCTTAAAAGCCTTAAACCCTAAACCCTAAAACCCTATAAGCCCCAAAACCCTATAAAACCCAAAAAGCAAGGCCTTGGAGGAAGCCTCGAAGTTGTGCGTCGAGCTCGGAGCCCGGAAATGGCCCATCGACTACGCAGAGCCCTCGCGGGGTTCTGGAGTTTCCGAGTTTCAGAGTTTCCGGCTCCTCTGGGGTTTAGGTTTAGAGTTTCCATTTTGGTTTCGGGTTTAGTTTTTTCCGGGTTTTGGGGGTTTGGGGTTTAGGGTTTTTTGGGTGTTTTGGGGTTCCTTTTTTCGGGTTCTTCTTAGGGTCCGCTTAGAAGGGCTCTATGTTGTGGGGTTTTATGAAGTGGTTCCTGTCGGTTTCGCAATGGTTTAGGGTCAAGGGCTGGGTCGGGAGGGTGTTCAAAGTGAGTTGAGAGATGTCGCAAGGGCTTTATCCGACACAGGACATCGGAAACGCAAGTTGTTAGTCGGGGTTCCGTATTTTCTGTCAGGTCCACCATAGCGGTATTCAGGGTTTAGCGAAGTTTAGCGTGTGTGAGGGACTGTTGTGAGAGACTGAAAGAGTCCCTTGGACGTTTGCAAACGTCTTGTCAAGGCCAAACGCTCCTGGTGGCGTTTAATTATGGGTGTATTTTTGTTTAAGGGAGATAAGTTTCATTCCCCTTCTGGTCCAACGCTAGACTGAGGTCCCTACGTACTAGTATAAGCAGACGTTGAGCGCGCAGTTTCAGCTACAGCTCAGGAAAAAATTCTCTGGGAGATCGACCGCTATGTGAGGGAGAACCTGCAAAGCATCGAAGCTTGGGTTGCGGAATCTCAGGAAGAGGCACCTGGGACTCTACTTACAAAGAGAGATACAGGTACATCCTAACCCCTGAACCCTAAACCCTAAACCCTAAACTCCTAAAGCCCTAAACCCATAAACCCCTCAGGTAACCATCACGGATGAGCAGCACCTCGACGCGCTGGCCGACGCAGCTGAAGTTCTGGACTCCGAAGGGCTGGATTGGTGGCCTACGAGACTGGGTTCTCTTTTAAGGGACTTTGTTTAGGCCACCATGAATAGGGATCTATAGTAAAGAGTATGGTTTCCTCATTATGGTAACTTAAGCTAAATCCCTTACCCTAAGGGTCCATGTACCCAAATAGCACACACTTTGGCCCCAAAGTACTTATATAGGGACTACTTTAAGGCCAAAGTATATACTATTTGGGTACATAAACCCTTAGGGTTAGGTTTAGGTCCTTATTCTACTAACTTAAACCCTAAAACCCTAAACCCTGAACCCTAAACCCTAGACCCTTAAGTCAAAGCCCTTAACAAGAGACCAGGAGAGGCACCCTCATTGCCTTGCTCCGCCATGGCAGGCGGAGTGGCCCGCTGTCCAGGGGCAAGTTGGATGTTGTCGACCATGATGTTGATGTCATGGTCGGCGTGTCTAGTGAAGAGGAATGGGTCCAAAGACGGCCCGCGATTCAGCAGAAGCTTCACGCGCGAGGTTGGAACGCCTGCTTTGAAAGGCATTCTGTCGCTGCTCCCTACGGCAGTTTCGAGTACAATCTTGCACGCAGGGACCTGTTCTTGTGCACTAGGACAAATCCTAAAGTTACGCTGGACATCGCAACATACATCACAGAGGGTCCGATCGCCATTGCACAAAAGTATTGTCCTGGTGCTGGCATCGGATGTTGGATTCCTCGAAACTCGGTTTATGCTTGCAAGGCTAAGTTTCGTAGCTTCCTGTCTGGTACTATGTCTGCTGTGTATTATCTGTCTCATGCCACTTAACATCTAACCCTAAGGGTCCTTGTACCCACATAGTATATACTTTGGCCTTAAAGTAGTCCCTATATCGGTACTTTGGGGCCAAAGTATCTACTATTTGGGCACATGGGCCCTTAGGGTAAGTTCCTTACATCCTTTATACAACGAACCCAGACCAAGCCGTGGTCAAGCCCTCAACCAGCACCGCCAAGGAAATGATGGCAGCTTCCGAGGAAGCCAGGGACGGCTGCGACTTAGTAGCTGAATGTGTACACTGTAGGGGTTTAGGGGCTAGGGATTTAGAGTTGGGGGGTCCCTTGGCAATGTTTCGAGGGCCTCTCTATACTCCGGAAATGCTCCCCCTCATGGGGTCATGCAGGGCCATGCAACTATGCCCGGGCCATGTCGTCTTTGATCTTGAAAAGGCATGTGTCCACATGAATTTGGGGTTGGAAGAGGCATGTGTCCACATGATTCGGGGCCTACACAGGGCAAATTGTCCACAAGAATCGGGGTCTCACCCGGCAGGTTGTCCACATAGCCGGCGGGTAGATATGGGGATCTAAAGCGACATGAAATGTAAAATAAAACGATATAAAGAGTTACTGAGTTACAGTTACATCATGTAACATCTTCAAACCAGACCGAAACGGTTTTGGAAGCCAGCAGTTTTTGCGATCAGTTCCATGCAACGTCGATGACGTAACCTCTAGAACTCTAGAGGGTCTAGAGACCCATGTAGTGTCACAGACAGAGGCCCTACTTAGCCGTGTGAACATGTGGGACGCATGTTGTGCGTTGCTTGGACGAGAACTGCGACTTGCTGGCAGAGCTGGAGGACGGGGCGTCGACAAAAACTTGTGGACACAAAGTTGTGGACAAAA